AGAGGTTTCCCCTGCGCCTGCCACGAAAAGTGACCACCATGTGCGAAAATGCGCACGGCACCAAAACGAGAGCGCAGTCGTTAGAAGCACCCGCCCGGGGCACCCAGACTGTGTGAGCCTGCGCAGTCGAAAGGCACATAAGACGCAGGTGAAAACTCTAGTTACAATGGAGGGACGATTCGACCATGATCCGACCATGACGCGAGGCCATTCCGCGTTCCGCAGAGCTGGCCTTGCCAGGCTGACTCCCTGACAACAGCACACCTTGGAGGGGCTGGACAAGACCACGGAGGACCACTACGGGGGGCCATTTGAGGACCTGACGGTTCAGAAGGTGGTGCGGGTATCTCTTTTCCACCCCACGCGTCCAAATCAGTGGCCACGGCACTCCGCCGTGTACACCAGAATATGGGACATCCCTCCAACAACGACCTAGCCCGACACCTGAAGCTGGCGGGCGCTAGTGAAGAGTCGGTGAAGGCATGCCATCAACTGCATTGCCAAACCTGCAAGAGACATGCCCGGTCGGGTAGCAGGAGACCGGCAAAAGTCTTCAAGCCTCTTGACTTTAACGAAGAGGTCGCCGTGGACACCATGCACCTCTATGACCTCTCCGGGAACAAGGTGACGGTCCTCTCGATCATGGACGTGGGGTCTGGATACCATGTGGTGGCGCCCGTAACCGGGAGGAAAGCAGAAGATTACACCCAGCGCTTCTTGAAGAGTTGGGTGGCTTGGGCCGGAGCTCCACAAAGTACCCTGGTGGACCAAGAGAGAGGCCTCATGAAGGATTTCCCGGAAGAGTTGGAGAAGCACGGCATCCGGGTCAACTACACGGCGGGACAAGCACATTGGCAAAATGGACACATCGAGAGGCAGAACGAGTGGTTCCGGCAGATCTTTGACCGGGTCAAAGACCATCTCTCCACGCAGGACCACGAGGTCGAATGGGTCCTGGCATCAGTGTCGCAGGCCAAGAACTACCTCCGACGTCGCCATGGCTACTCCCCCGCTCAGTGGCTTTTTGGGGTGGCTCCTCGCTTGGGAGAAGGGATATTGGATGAGGAAGACGACATCGCTGAGAGACAGGCCCTCATTTCCCCTGGCGATCAATGGTCGGGCTATCCATGGGCGACCACGAGTCCAACACGGAGACTTCATGGCCCGCAAAAGGCAAAACGTGGGAGAATGGATCGGACCTGGGGTCATCGTGGGGCAGGAAGGTAAGAATTTCTGGGTCTCACGAGGGGGTCGGTGCCTACTATGTGCTCGAGAGCATCTCCGTTTGGCCGAGTCGGAAGAGTTGGGAGGAACACTTCAAGCCAAGGCAGTGAGGTCCGACTTGGTCAAGCTCATCGAGGGCATGGAGATCGACGACGAGGAGGTCTTCGCCGACGCCGGAGAACTTGCACCCGTCGACGCTGGAGGTGATCTTGAATACACTCCCTCGCTTCCTGATGAAGGCGAACCTATGGAGGAGGAGCCAAACTCAGGGGCCAAGCGACCTGCCGACACCTCGGTGCCTGAGAGGCGCATGCGACAAAAGGGGTACTGCCCAATGGTCCCAGAACCAGAAGATGTACCGGTCCCTGAGGACCAGGAACTGCTGTGCTACATGGCCTCTGAGAAGAGGGTCCCTCGAGCTCTACAGAAGCAGGCGGACAAGGAGCTCAAGTGGAACCAGATCCCGGAGAAGTAAGGAGGCGGAAGCCAAACAATGGAGGGAGCGCCTGAAGTACAAGGCTAAGGCCATCAGGATCATTGGGGCCCAAGAGGCAGCAAAGGTCCGAAAGAGGGTCCACAAGAGCAGGATCTTGAGAGCTCGGTTCGCTTACCGGGACAAGAACTGCACCAAGAGACGTGAAGATTCGACGATCCCTCCGAAGGCTAAGGCACGTCTCTGTGTGGGAGGACATCGTGACCCTGACCTACAGTCCGGGCAACTCACGACTGAGGCTCCAACTGCAACCAAGACTTCGATAACATGCCTCGTCTTCCTCACTGCGCAGATGGGGTGGACACTCGCGGCCGGGGACATCGAGGCGGCTTTCTTGAACGGGGTTGAAGCGAGACGTGACCTCTACTTCGAACCGCCAGCCGATGACCTGGAAGGGGTAGAACCTCATCGAAATTGTGAAAGGGGTCTTCGGGCTGTCCACATCACCACGGCTCTGGTGGGATAAACTTGCTCAGTCCCTGCTGGAAGTCAGGGTTGAGACCGCGCGCGGAACTCTACACCTTGTCCAGCATAGCCTGGACAAGTGCCTGTTCCTCGTCATCGACAAGGACAACCAGCTGTTCGGATTATTGGCCACCCACGTGGACGACAGCTCCTACGCCCGCCCGCAAGGCTCTGGAACAAGCACTCTCGGGGATCTTCCCGATATAGACGCTTGGGAAGAAGCTTCGACTGGACTGGAATATTGTGGGGTGACGGTGAAACAGGAGAAGAATCAGGTCACACTGAGCCAGGAGCACTATGTGAACACACGTCTCCAGACGGTGGACATCCCCAAAGGAGTACTACCAGAAGACCCTGCAGACGAGGTGGCCAAGATGGACAATCAGTCCACCATCGGAGCTTTGTCATGGCTGGCATCACAGACCAGACCAGACATTCAGGTGGGCGTCTCGATGGCGCAAAGAAAACAGAGATCACCCACCTACTATAACATCAAGGCGACCAACCATGTGGTTCGGATGGCCCAGAAGGAGAAGGAGGAGAAACTGGTGTATGATAAGCTGGGGAATTGGAACGACCTGGTGATCATCGTGTACCATGATGCGGCATGTGCCAACGTGGACTATGCCGAGACCAAGGACACCGGCATCTACTCTCAGCTGGGGTATGTGGCGGTGATAGCACGCCGAGAAGTTCTACTGGGGAAAAAACCAGGACAGGGCATCGTGGCAACCTGGAAATCCCATGCTTGCCAGAGGGTATGCAGGAGCACTTTTTTGCCTCTGAAACAATGGCAGCATTGGAAGGGTGGGAAGCTGGAATCGCTTTCCGCGACCTACTTCGAGGTTGCTTCCGAGCTGGGTGCCCCGGAGAGCTGTTGACCATGACGGACTGCAAGAGTCTGTACGACTCGGTACACCGAGCCGGTGGACCGAGGGCGCCCTCTGAGAAGCGCTTGCTTGTGGACCTGGCTGCGCTGCGACAGATGGCGCAGCAAGAGGTCATGGAGTGGAGCCCAGAAAATAGGGCAGCTTTTGGGCGATCCTTGAAATGGATCCCTACTGACCACCAGCTCGCCGACGGCCTTACAAAGCTGTTGAGTAAAGGGAGCTGGTGGTCATTTTTGAAAGATCTCAAGCCAGCAGGTTCAACAACATAGAAAGGGAGTGTGAATGAAGGCACTCCGTTGAACCTGCTTTCTGGCTGCCGTTTAGGCACAAGGGTTCTTTGAAGGTAAAAGGGGGTTTTGTGCGACCTCGCTTGTTTTACAGTACTAAAGAAGCTCCTAGTAGCTTCCTTCTTACTAGTAGCGATGCCAGGAGCCCCTAGTAGCTTCCTTGCTCCCAGTAGTAAGGCCAGGAGCCCCTAGTAGCAGCATAGCATACTTCATGATACTTCCCTACTGCAAGAACAGATCCGAATTGAGTAGTGGACCATTGGTATCTACAGTAGGTCCGGCGCCAGTCTTTTTGATGAAGATTTGCATTTCCTCAGACCTAGCCCTTGTCGAAAGATAAAAAACGATATACTGATACACCCTTTCGATCCTTTTTTGGGGGCTTCATATTCCACAGTTCTGGTAGAGGTTTGCTTTTTGCTGAGAGAAGCTGGGGGCCTAGCCATGTGAATGACAAGTCCGCAGGTGCGAAGTCAATTTGACGAGTGCCTCCAAAAGGACAGGAACACCTTTTGTTGCACCGATTTGATCTGTTCGTCAAGTCCTGAGGTTTGAACGGGCACTTGGAAGATCATAACGGTAACCCGGTAGATTCCAGAATAAGAGATATATATATATATATAGAATATATAAGCGTAGAGCAACTTGGTCAGTTTTTTAATAGAGGAACTGCGGCTTCCTGGATCATTTCAGGATGGAGATGGAGATCTGAAGAATCGCCTTGATGAACTGGAGGCATTGGTGGATTCCACCCTTGAGCGCCAGGCACAAGGCCAGAGACAGCCAACAGACACTTCATATGATTTCATGATATCGTTTCATGATACTTCATGTCCTTAAACAAGGTATCGCCGCCAAAGTGACCCTGGGCGATTCGCACATTGCCAAAGTGGACACTACTCAAAAACTCCCATTTTTTCATGTTTTCATTTGGGAGAGTTTGGATCATACGTGATTTCGTCCCATTTTTCACAAGGGTCAGCACTTGTAAGGTGAATTTAGATTGGGGAAGAGCAGAAAGTGCACGTTTTTTTGGCGCGCACGCGTTTTGCAAGTGTATTTTCTTTACACTTGCGGCCACGTTCGGGCCAACGCCTCAAGCAAATTTCCTCGGTTGTTCCACCGAAACTGAAAACTGCGGACATATTGTTCGACGCGTTTTGCGTCACGCTGTCCTAAACCTTTGCGTGACGCAAGTGCAAGCGAACATTAACATGCCCCGCCCCACCCCACCCCACCCCACATCTACAACGAAGCATCAACTTCGTGACGCAACTGCAAGCGAACGTTA